GAAAAATTAAAAGCACTGGCATTCCATCCTGACGTGGGTCACCATACCCTCAGATGGAGAGGTGGCCCAGCTCCCTATGGCCACGCCACCCACCTGTGGCCATGACCGGCCTTTGGGGCTGTATCCTCTGGAGGGTTGTTGAAGGATCAGGCTCTGACCTGGGTTCGAATCTTGATTCTTTCACTCCCGATGTGACATTGGCCAAGTTCATTGAAGGGAGCCTCAGTAGCCTCGTCTGTAAACAGAATGGCCAGTGGTAGCCATCCATCTGATGAGGGTCACTGTGAGACTAGCTGTGACTTTCCATTTTCAGTGCGTGGCACCGTGCTGCTTGTAGAGAAAAGTTGATAAGAGTATGAACCTCGATTCTAGGTGTGTCCCATCAGATAAAAACGCTGTTGGATCGACGAGGCCCCTGTCAATGGAATGGGAGCTGTCCCATTGCATTTCTTCTAATAACTCACCAGAGGACATTCCCTGAACAGAGAAGAAGAGATCGAGGGTGGGCCACAGTTTAGGTGGAAATCCAGAAATGTCCGGGGGGATTGGTAAAGCGTGAAGGTCATGGTTGTGACAACTTGTGCAGCTTTGGGGAAACCAGAGGAAGGACCGGGTGGGCAGCAGTGGGTGGGAGAGCTGGCAGCAGTTGACTGTCCTGGGGAGTGAGTAGCACAGCAGGGAAGCTTCTGGCAGCAGAGTGGAGAGGGGGGCATTTGGTTTCTTAGAGAACTGGTCTTAGAGGCAGGGCTCAACCCAGAACGTCTGGGTGTCCATACAGGGCTGCAGCCTGGGGGGAAGGGTAGGGTGCTGGGCAGGTGGGGGGTATGTCAGACTCAAAAAGGCTCTCAGTGGAGTGGGAGCAAGGGAAGGGCTGTAGTGATATTTGTTTCTTATGGTAACCAGGGACACGGCGGCCAAAGTGAGACTGGCATTTCTGACCTGTGGCAGAGCCTCGGGTGGAGACCTGGGGTCTGGGGCCCCAGGCCTGTGAACTGAGTGTCCATGTGCATTTAGGAAGAGACAGCTGCCAAGGGTGGTGCAGTACAGGAGCAAGGATGCAAATGGGCCATGGTCATCAGGAAGCGCTCCGAGACCAGCCAGACCAACCTCTTTTGTGCTTGGGACATCTGGTGGTTTTTCATTCACCCAGGGGAGAAACTCGCTGGTCTCCCTTATCAAGTGACTGCCCAGAAGCAGCAGTTCATAAACAAAAATGACAAATTCTGCTCTGATGAAAGTACTAAGACTCTCAGGTCTACTGTAAAAATTGGAGCAATAGAAGCCAAACTCACTACCATGGAGTCAGTTCTGACTCCCAGCAACCCCTCACCACAGTCCGTCTTGTATGCATCGTTATTAGCTGCCCATTTCCCCCTGATCTCCCCTGCCATACCCTCAAGAGACCATTAATCCAGTTGCTGTCTCTCTACTGAGGCTAACTCTTTACAGGAGTAGAATGCCTCCTTTTTCTTCTGAGGATTGGCTGGTGGTTTCGAACTGCTGCCCTTGCGGTTAGAACCCCACGACGTCGTCAGCAGGGCACCTAGTTTCCTAGGAAGAGTGGGCCAATTGTAGAGACTGGGCCAAAGGTGGTAGTGTGTGCTGCCAGCTTGCACCCTGCTCATGATGGAGCTCACTAGGTGCTTATGAAAATGAAGAGGCGTTCATACTGACCGATGCTGCTTCTCCGCAGCAAAGCATCTCAGCCCATTGACAGGCC